TCGCTGCCAAAGCTGTAATCAGGTGGGACACCGTGATGGGTTCTGCAAATCATTACCAGCTTCTGGAGGCAAGCCAGCCCCCGCCACTCCTAATTCCAGGCACCGTTTCCGGTCAAAACGCAAGCCCAAACCCCAGTCCGTAGATAATTCTCTCAGTCTTTTGGCCGCTTTCCAGCTCAATGCGTCTGGTCGTAGAAAATTTATTGATGTCTTGCTCAATGGCCATGCAGTTCGTCTACAGTTGGACACTGCCTCAGATATCACCATAATCTCTGAGAGACTCTGGCAGTCCCTTGGCAGCCCAACGATGCAGCAGACTTCTCAGTCCGCCACAAGCGCGTGCTGTGGTCTCGTACAGCTAATTGGGCAGCTGCAATGCTATGCGTCGTTCCGCGGTACCAGCATCACTGCGATCTGCTACATCACCAAGTCTGATCTAAACCTACTTGGTCTCGACTGGATTGAACAACTTGGGTTGGCCGATATGCCGCTCCGCATTGTTTGCTGTCAGGTGCAGATTCCCGCTGTGCTTGCAGACCAAGCCAAGGGCATTCCCCAACGGTTTGCTCCAGTGTTCCAAGACGGCCTGGGTCGTTGCACATACACTCAAGCCGTGCTACATCTGTCTCCTGGAAGTCAACCAGTCTTCCGTCCAAAGCGACCAGTCCCATATGCAGCCCTACCACTTGTCGAGGCTGAACTGAAACGTCTAGAGGAATTGGGAGTTCTGGTTCCTGTATCCAACTCCGCCTGGGCCGCTCCAGTCGTTGTGGTTAAGAAGCCCAATGGCTCGGTCCGCATTTGTGCTGACTTTTCCACCGGTCTCAATGCCGCACTGACGCCGAACTGCTATCCATTACCGGTTCCGGCTGATCTTTTCACCCTGCTAAATGGTGGCACTTGCTTTGCCAAGTTATATATCGCTGATGCGTATCTGCAGATCGAGGTCGCCCCAGAGTCGCGCGAATTGTTGACCATCAATACCCACCGCGGTCTGTTCCAATACACCAGGCTGCCCTTTGGTGTCAAGACCGCCCCGGCCCTATTTCAACAAACGATGAACGCAATGCTCTCCGGCATCCCTGGCACAGCTGGGTACCTGGACGACATCATCATCGTGGGTCGCTCCCCTGCCGAGCTCCAAGACCGAGTGTACGCAGTACTCGAACGCGTGCAGGAATATGGCTTTCACCTACGGGCCGATAAGTGCCAATTCTTCCTCGACTTCATCAAGTACCTCGGATTCGTTTTTGACGTCAATGGTCGCCATCCAGATCCTGAAAACATTCGGGCCGTCCAGCAGATGCCTGCCCCCAAGAATGTATCGCAACTTCGTTCGTTCCTTGGCCTGATCAGCTACTATAGCGCCTTCCTACCATCGCTGCATGACGTACGGGCCCCGCTCAACCGCCTGTTGCAGAAGGATGCTCCCTGGTGCTGGTCCCCCGACTGTGAAAAAGCCTTCGCCCAGCTAAAGTCGATGCTGAGTTCAGATCTGCTGCTCACGCACTACGACCCGACGCTGCCGATCGTTGTTGCCGCAGATGCTTCCAACCACGGAGTTCGTGCCGTCATCTCACATACTTTTTTCGACGGGTCTGAAAAGGCGATCATGCATGCATTTCGCACGCTAACCCCTGCGGAGAAGAACTATGGGCAAATAGAGAAAGAGGCTCTAGCCCTCGTGTTTGCCGTCAAGAAATTTCACAAACTGTTGTACGGTCGCCACTTCACGTTGTTGACGGATCACAAACCATTGCTGTCAATCTTCGGTTCGAAGAAGGGCATTCCCGTCTACTCAGCCAGCCGACTTCAACGATGGGCAATAATCCTTATTGGCTACGATTTCGACATTCGCTACTGTCGTACTACAGACTTTGGTCAGGCTGACGCCCTTTCTCGCCTCATCAGCAATCAGCAGGAACCGGAGGAAGATGTCGTAAATCGTAATGTTCTCACGAACTAACGAGTTATATCTCACGAGCCCCTAGCCTTCAATGCAGCAAGTAAATCGGAGCAGTGAATAATATAGAGGTTTTTGAACGTTAAGAAAACTGACAACAGAATACCACAGCAGAGCACGCTAGCACGGCGGGTTGTACAGGTGTGTCGTTTCTCGTCACATTCAAACAAGCAATGCGGTCAAAGGAAATGGGACTAAATTGTCAAAGGTAAATTAGTCAGGTACCTCACCACAGTACCCCCCTTCTAGACCGGAGGTCGACGGGACACGGCGCCGGAGGGTATGCACAAGTCTAGAAAAAATGGGTAACTAAACGATCAGGAAAATGAACGTGACGGCCACTGCGAGTTATGTATGCAGGAGGTACAGTCGAAGAGGGTTGACTGCGTGCTGTGGTGGACGATGGTGTTGCAGTTGGATGTTGTTGACATGTAGGGAGAGGAAGTATGCGAGACGGAGGGGTAGAGGGCAAGGGAGGGAAAGGGCAAGGCAGTGGGCAGGGTGAACGAGTAGGGGATAGGGAAGATGGAGGATAAGGGATTAGGGGGTCAGCACATGTTTGTCCTTGTGACAGGTGCGGCGGCTCCTCCGCAACAGCAGCCTTGACCCGCTCGACACTGACCACGTCCTCCTTGTCATTGCGAAGAATTCGGAAGGTCTTGGTGTTGCGCGCGAGCACGCGGAACGGTCCTTCATATGGTGATTCCAGCGGCTGGCGCACACGGTCACACCGGACGAACACATGAGTACATTTGTCCAAGTCTTTTTCGACATAAGACTCAGTCATTGGAGCTCGAGGTGGAACCGGGGAAAGCGAGCGCATAAATTGTCGCAAACGATGCACAAGATTGTCAGGAGTCTCGTCGGCTCCACGAGAGGTTGGGGTGATCATCTCGCCTGGCAGTCGGAGGGTAGTGCCGAAAACCAATTCGGCTGCGCTACAGCCCAGATCCGACTTCAGAGCTGCGCGTATGCCGAGGAGTGCAAGAGGAAGGTTGTCCGACCAGTTTCCTGGGTCTTCTACGGCACGCAGGGCGGTCTTTAGCTGGCGATGGAAACGTTCCACCATACCGTTGGCAGCGGGGTGGTAGGCTGTCGTCCGAATGCGTGTGCAGCCAAGGAAATTGAGTAGCGTTTGGAAGAGAGCCGACTCAAACTGGGCACCACGATCAGTCGTAACCGTGGATGGGGCACCGAACATGGCGACCCAACGACGGACGAAGGCCTTCACGATGGTTTCAACCTGAACATTCGGCAAAGGAATAGCTTCAGCCCAGCGAGTATATCGATCGACACAGGTAAGGAGGTAGGTGAAACCATTGGATGGAGGCAAGGGGCCTACGACATCCAGGTGCACATGGCTGAACCGTGCGTCGGGACTGGGGAAAGTGCCTGGTGGGGACTTGTTGTGACGCTGCACCTTATTGCGCTGGCAGCTCAGACACGACCGGGCCCAAGCTTTGACGTCCTTGTTCATGCCAGGCCAGACAGACCTTTCCGCGAGGAACTTTTGAGAGGCTCGGATCCCAGGGTGGGAGAGTCCATGCAGAGTTTGAAATACAGCTCGACGCATCGAGGCGGGCACAAAGGGGCGATGAAAGGGAGTTGAGACGTCACAAAGTATGGTACCAGAGCCGGTGGTCAGAGGAACGTCTTTGAGTTGGAGACCACTAACAGACTCGTCGCCAGGACAACCGACTCGCTGCTGCTCAGCCGCCATGGCACAAAGATCGATCCCGTGTGAGAGTTGGAGGGAAGACAGTGAGGGTCTGGACAGCATATCAGCCACCTCATTCTTCGGGCCATCAATGTGGCGGATGTCGGTGGTGAATTGCGAGATGTAATCCAAATGAGAAATCTCTCTCGGGCTATATTTGTCAGAATGGGATCGGATGGCAAATGTAAGTGATTTGTGATCTGTGAAAATGGTGAAGTCACGACCCTCAAGGAAGTGTCGGAAATGTTTTACGGCTAGGTAAATGGCAAGAAGTTCACGGCCAAACGTGCTATATCTCGTCTCGGCAGGTGAAAGCTTCTTGGAGAAGAATGCCAACGGTCGTGTCGAGTTGTTGATATGCTGTTGGAGGACTACTCCTACGGCAACGGTTGAAGCATCAACCATCAGGGACAATGGGGCTTCTGGAGCAGGATGAGTGAGCAAGGTAGCATCAGCAAGGGAGGTCTTTAGTCTCTCAAATGCAGTCAGCACGTGGCCACGTAACTCAAGGGGACCCTTGGGACCAGAGAGCAAGTTGGTGAGTGGCAGCATAAGGTCGGCACAGTTCGGTAGGAACCGGCGATAAAAGTTTACCATGCCAAGGAAACGTTGCAGCTGACGCTTGGAGGTTGGTGGAGGAAAGTCACGAATGGCCTCAACCTTGGAAGAGAGGGGACGCAAACCTTGTGCATCGATATGGTGACCAAGAAAATCAAGGGACGGCACACCCAGGACACACTTGGAAGGGTTAATGACCACGCCAAACTGATCGAGGCGGTCAAACACTAAAGCAAGATGCTCTTTGTGTTCCTCGGCGTTTCGACTGGCCACCAAGAGGTCATCGTTGTAGGCGTACACAAACGGGAGACCACGTAGGACTCGATCAATGAACCTCTGGAATGTTTGGGCAGCATTGCGAAGACCAAATAGCATGCGAACAAATTCGAACAGGCCGAATGGTGTGGTTACGGCAGTTTTGGGAACATCCTCAGGAGCGACAGGAATCTGATGGAAGGCCCGAACAAGGTCTATCTTCGAGAAAACCGATTTGCCGAAAAGAGCTCCAGCAAAATCTTGAAGATGAGGGACGGGATAACGATCCGGGATGGTCGCATTGTTGAGGGCACGATAGTCACCACAGGGCCGCCAGTCGCCTGATGTTGCCTTGGGCACCATGTGCAGTGGGGACGCCCAAGGGCTCTCGGACGGTCGAATTATTCCCAGTTGCAGCATGTGTTCAAACTCCGCCTTCGCGGCCTGAAAACGCTCCGGTGCTAGTCGTCTCGGTCGAGCAAACACGGGAGGACCTGAGGTGCGGATATGGTGCACAACATCATGTTGAACTTCACCACTGCGAAACTGGGCGTTAATTATATTGGGGTGACTAAGCAGCAGTTGCCGAAAAGGACTAGCAATATCTGTATCCAGGACAGATAAGTTGGTGGGGGCAGCAAATGGAGTTAGTCCACGGACGAACAGACCGGTTTTGCGGTCGAGGAGACGGGCACGTCGACAGTCAACAAGGAGATCGAACTCGGCAAGGAAGTCCGAGCCGAGGATTGCATAAGGGACATCAGCAATCACAAAGATCCAAGTAAATGACCGACGAAGGCCAATGTTCAGGGTGAGGGACAGACTGCCAAAAGTGGGAATTGGGGAACAGTTAGCAGCTTGAAGATGAAGACCAGGACTAGGGAAACGACGATCAGCTGCAGTTGGGGGAACAACACTGATTTGAGCTCCAGTGTCCACCAGAAAACGTCTGCGAGTCGCAGTGTCGCAAACATAGAAGGTGCGACCAGAGCCGGAGGAGCCAGAGAAAACGGTCGCATCTATTCTCTGGCTGACTGGTTTCCCTGTTTTGGCTTAAAAGAGCAAGGTGAGGAACACCGACGGGCCTTTACACCGAAATTAGTGTGACACCAGCAAGTATCAGCAGTCCGAGGTCGCGAACGAGAACGACGACGACTGCGTGAGCGACTGGAAGTTAGGCGGGTGAGCTGTATTTTAAGAGAGGCCATCTCATCTGCCATGGCCGACACCTGTTTTAGTAAATGATCATTCACAGACGATGAGGATGAGATCTAGGCAACGGAAGGTGACTGGACTCGTTGCACCTCTATCATTCGATCCACCATCTCAGCCAACTGTGACACTGTGAGATCCTGAGAGCCGGACGCCAGGATCGTTTGAACATCTGTGGGCAGGCGCTCCAGGAACATCTCCTTGACAAATTTATCATCAACTTGCATGTCTCCAAGGAGACAACGCATCCGACGTAGAAGCTCTGAGGGCTTCCGGTCACCCAGTGACTCCTCCTTAATTAACTGGTGATACCTCTGTCGGTCAGACACAGAATTAAGTCGGAGGATTTCTGCCTTTAACGCGGAGTAGGGAGCATCTGCAGGAGGATTAGCTAGCAAGGACTGAACTTGAGAGATGACACTAGCGGGGAGGACCTCCACGAGTTTGTGGTATTTTGCTAGCTCCTTGGTAACGTTGGCAGAATAAAAGGCTGATTCTATGCGGATGAAGTAAAGTTCTGGAGCGTGTTGCCAGAATTCAGGCAAAGTAAAATTGATTGCATGAAGGGACTGGGCGGGGGCATCAAGTTGTTGATCGGAGTGAGACATAATAAGACAGAGATGTCAAAATATCAGAATTCGTGAGGAAAGTAAATGTAAATGGAATAGATATTCACAAGCAAATAGTACGTTAAATGTTATCCAGTATGACAGAAAGCTATAAAGTCTGCGTAAACGTCGGGAGTCACCAATGTCGTAAATCGTAATGTTCTCACGAACTAACGAGTTATATCTCACGAGCCCCTAGCCTTCAATGCAGCAAGTAAATCGGAGCAGTGAATAATATAGAGGTTTTTAAACGTTAAGAAAACTGACAACGGAATACCACAGCAGAGCACGCTAGCACGGCGGGTTGTACAGGTGTGTCGTTTCTCGTCACATTCAAACAAGCAATGCGGTCAAAGGAAATGGGACTAAATTGTCAAAGGTAAATTAGTCAGGTACCTCACCACAAAGATACCGTGATTGCAGCTATTTCGATTGAGGACGATGTGCGCCGTCAGCTATCAGACGCCATACGAGGTATCCCCGTCACTGCCGCGGACATCCGACGTGCAACTGAACAGGACCCTGTCCTCCGCCAGGCCATCACCTACGTGCAGACCTGCTGGCCAACCACTGCTCTCGCTGGCGATCTTCGCCAGCTCTTCCTCCGCCGAGCATCGCTATCTGTGGTTGACTCCTGCCTCATGTTTGCAGACCGTGTGGTAATCCCATCTTCCCTCCGACCCACTGTACTACGCCAGTTCCATGCGGCTCATCCTGGTGCCAGCCGAATGAAGTCTATTGCTCGCAGTTTTGCCTACTGACCGGGTATCGACGGCGACATCGACGACCTGGTTCGACGCTGTTGTCGATGTCAGCAAGCTGCCAAGATGCCGCCTCGTCAACCGCCAGTACCCTGGGAACCACCAGAGAGGCCTTGGTCACGCGTGCACATCGACTTCGCTGGCCCACTTAACAAAGTCTCTTACCTAATCTTGGTTGACGCCTACTCGAAATGGCCCGAGATTGCTCCGCTGAATCCAGCAACCGCATCTTCCACTATCGCCTTCCTACGACGCATCTTTAGCCAACATGGCTTACCAGAAGTCCTGGTTTCAGATAATGGCTTTCAGTTTACTTCGTCGTCGTTTGAGGATTTCTGCCGCCAACACAACATCCAGCATCTTCGCTCCCCGCCCTACCATCCTCAGTCTAACGGTCAGGTGGAGCGTTTTGTCGACACGTTTAAGAGAGCCCTCCTGAAAGCTCGCGGGGAGGGGACCACCGACGAGATAGTCCAGGCATTCCTGTTTTCCTACAGGACAACACCGAACCCGGCGTCCCCTGGTGGCGTTTCTCCTGCCGAAGCGTTGATGGGCCGAAAACTGCGTACAACGTTTCATGCCCTCGTCCCTACCGGTGCGCAGCCTGCGCAGACTTCTCCAGTTTCTCGCAGCAAGCTCTCCATCGAAACACCTGTCTTCGTTCGTGATTATCGAGCGGGGTTCCCAGACTGGATTGAAGCAACCGTAGTATCGCACAGAGGCAGTATGTTGTTTGACGTCGACGTTGGTGATGACATCTGGGTTAGCCACCACAACCAGATCCGACGGCGACATTGCAGTAACACAACTGGACTCGATTCGGCGCCGTCACTCTCTCTTGACATCCTACTGGATACATTCGCCATTCCGGCAGATCGGTCGGTTTCCGAACCCACTGCTGCGCTTCCTTCGGATGTACCGCCTTCGGTATCAGTCACTGCCCCCGGGTCTCCAGACAACAAACCACAACTAAGACGCCGGACTAACCGCGTGCGCCGATCAACACTGCCGATGCAGATCAATCCACGCCAAAAGCGGTACTGACCCACTTGGAGGGGAGGTGTTGGGAGTGCCTACACTCCCAAAAACAAAAGCAAACCAATCACTGGCGATCACGTGCGTTTGCTCTCTCTCTACAGCGCTGTCATCTCAATCAGGCGCCTTCCCATTGGCTACTCCCCCTCTTCCCGAAGGTCATTGGCCGAATGCCGGCGAACCACGCTAGCGTGTGATAAATATGCGTCACCCTTAGCTAGACGTGACTTGCATTGTTTTGCTAATACACGTTCCGTGGCCAGCCGTGTGTTCATTTTCTGCTGCCTTGATATTGGGGACCAGGATCGAGTGCGTATACGCTCCACGGGATTTCAAGTACCAGGCGGGTCATAACAGTTTAACAGTTACATGGAAAGTATTGGTACATTCGCGTAGACACCACCTATCACTCATCCAACAGGCAGGCTATGAAGCTTGTCGAGGTCATTAAAGAAGGGTGGCGCATCGCGTGTGCGTGTGTTCACGCCCAAAAAACTGCGTCATTATCGGGTGAGACCAAAATGGGAACCGCGTTTGCCACTGCCATGCGTTTGTGGGGGTGCACAGAGTTGACAAGATTCTTAGCTACTGTTGAATATCTCCGTTGCACACGTCAAACAAAAACTCACGCCCTACGAGTCATTTCGCCTAACCTCACCTTCACGCGTTTGGAGGGCAGAGATGGGCCAGTGTCACATGAGTCAGGGGGAAGTGAAATCGATATTCAGTCAGTATCAGTCAGTATATTTGGAGTAAACGACAGAAGCCATGAAAACTCCATTTAGAGGGTACAGGTATAAAGTAAAATAGTTAAACTGCAAAACTTTTGCTTGCAGTTTTAGTAGGGAGAATTCATAAATCTAATAATGTAACATAAAGGTGAAAGGGGTATTATATTCGCAAAAGAATTGCGAAAAACTTTGTTCACCGCATTCGGACTGTGAAAATTTCAGTATGGGCTAAGTTTGACGCAAAAAATAGGATCTGTTGAAATCTAGTTAGTAGTATATTTATAGCCATTGCAATAATCCGTTAGATCAGGCTTCGGCTGTTTGGGTTGCCTTTCAGAAGGTGAGTATCCAGTTGTCTCTTGAACACGTTCACGGTAGGGGAATTAACAACAAACACCGGCAAAGAGTTCCATTGGCGAATGACCCTCTGTGAGAAAAAGGAGGAACGTTGATTTGTGTGGCACAGTTCCTTTTTAAGCTGGTAATCATGTCGTCTGAGATTGGACTTGGGTGCCATTTCAAAAAACGTTTCCCAGTCGACATCCAGATTAAGTCCTTTTATCAACTGGAACGTTGCTATGAGGTCACCTCTGTCCTGCCTGTAGTGGAGGGGATAGAGGTTCAAGGCCGTCAGGCGCTGCTCGTACGTGAAGTTTTTGAGGCCATGAACAGCCTTTGTAGCACGCCGTTGTACACCTTCAAGGATAGCTATATCCTTCCGAAGCCACGGCCGCCAAGCCTGTACCGCAGCTTTGCTTATGGTATCCCTATTAAGACGAACTGTCAGTCAAAAACTTGATAATGTGATAATTAAGGGCATAGCTCGGTCATTCGTTTGAATGAAGGTCCGGTTACAATGTTTTTTCGTTATACAACTTTTGTGACGCCCTCGCCTGTGTGAGATCTTGGACTCCAACATGCAATCCTTGTCCGTATGTGGTTGGGAATAAGCAGTGCACTGCACACGTAGACGAACTGCTCAATTTTTCAGACATTGTGATCACGCTCATATTTAGTCATCTTAATTCTTTACCACCACCGAGGTATGAGAGGGATGGGGGGAGTGCCCGATAGATACTGTAAAGTTTTATCCACTTTAATCGAGGTCAAGCGTACTTTACCAGTGGGCCTTTTGGACCGTGGTGGCCTCGGCGCTTGGAGCCGAAAAACAGTCTCGCCAGTTCGACCACAATTACTATTTGGCTCCCTTATACAGATAAAGGCAGATCTCATTTCTAGGGCAACCTAGGTCACTCGTTACATTAGATGAATTTAACTTTATTTCGACGCGCCAGCATTTGTCTTATTACCGGAATGAACCCGAGGGGACAAGTAGGGAAGGGGAGATCGTGGAGAACTATTTGTGTCAGAGCAGGCCATACAACGCCGGGACGCCCTCAAAGACAACCGCGACAACACCGAAATGCATATGAACCCCTTATATTTGGGACACACTGATTACTGACAAGATGTCGACCATGTTGCAAAGTTGCTGTTGATATTAAAAACAGGCCTGATGGGTGAGACCAGAAGGCTTATTAAAGGGCTAAAAGAATTCCTCACATAAAGACCCTAAAATGTACGTGCCATCCCAAAACTTGTCACGCGGTAGATGTGCTAGAGCAACCGAGGACCCATACGGGAGTCCTGTCAGGCGTTAGCGGGAATGCACAGCAATAAGAAATGCTGAGATACGGGCTGTGGTCGAAGAATAACTAGCAGAGTCATGATTGGTATCTGAAGCGTCCCTTTATGTGAGCAATGGTATAAATTGCTAGTCAGTGAATCTTATGGACCAGGGAGTGTATTGGAGCGTCTAGTTTTGGGTTTTCGCTATGCCAGTCATCTGTGACATCCCCCACCACCACGCTCCGGTGGGTGTGGAGAAGATAGCATAAAACAAGATGTGGAGAGCTAAAATCACCATAAAAATAAATCGCGCGAAGGTCACCGTGTCTGCTCTAAGCTTGCTGCAGAACAAACGCTGGAAATCGCCCGGTATGACGGCCGAACTGTCGTGTGTTTGTGTGTATGTGTGTATGTGTGTGTATGTGTGTGTGTGTGTGTCCGACGCCGTCAGAGACAAACTCTACGAGGACCTGCACGCCCTCTTGGCGACTGTGTCGAAGGCGGACAAGTTGATTGTCCTTGGTGACTTCAACGCCCGCGTCGGCACAGACCATACTGCCTGGAGAGGTGTGCTGGGTCCTCACGGTCTCCGCGGCTCCAACGACAATGGTCTGCTGCTTCTCCGCACCTGCGCAGAACACCGCCTCATCCTGACGAACACGTTCTTCTTTCTGCCGGAGCGAGAGAAGGCCACCTGGAGGCATCCTCGGTCGCGCCAGTGGCACCTGCTGGACTATGTCCTCGTCCGGAGGCGAGATCGGCGGGACGTGCTGGTGACGAAGGCGATCGCGGGTGCTGACGGGTGGACCGACCATCGCCTCGTCATCTCGAAGATGCGTATTCGCCTACAGCCTCGCAGGAGACCACAAGGTAAGCGACCCCCAGGTAAGCTGAATGTTGCTTTGTTGGCTATGCCTGCTCACCGTCTCCATTTCAGCAATGAGCTAGCTCAACGGCTAGACAACCTTCCTATCGCTTCCGCCGCCGACGACGCCGCCGCCGCCGCCGCCGCCGCTGCCGAGAACGCCTCCGTGGAGAACCGCTGGTGTCAACTGCGTGACACAGTCAAATCGACGGCGCTCGCCGTCCTCGGTCGCGTTCCCCGCCAACACCAGGACTGGTTCGACGACAACGACGCCGCCATCAGAGATCTCCTTGCTGAGAAGAACCGCCTACACAAATCCTACGCAGATCACCCCATTGAGGACAACAAAGCTGCCTTCTACCGCAGTCGCCGACAGCTTCAGCAACGACTGCGTGAGATGCAGGACGCCTGGACTGCTCGCAAAGCTGAGGAGATCCAAGGCTACGCGGACCGCAACGAATGGAAGAACTTCTTCTCCGCGATCAAAGCTGTCTACGGTCCGCCGACGAAGGGCACTGCTCCTCTCCTCAGCGCCGACGCCAGCACTCTCCTGACTGAGAAGACGCAAATCCTACAGCGATGGGCCGAGCACTTCCAAGGCGTCCTCAACCGCCCTTCCGTCATCTCCGACGCCGCCATCGCCTGCTTGCCGCAAGTGGAGACCAACGTGGACCTCGACCTCCCGCCATCTATGCAGGAGACCATCAGGGCCGTGCAGCAGCTCTCCAGCGGGAAAGCACCCGGATCGGACGCAATCCCTGCTGAGGTCTACAAGCACGGAGGTCCCCCTACGGATGGATCACCTGACTGCGCTCTTCCAGGAGATGTGGCGTCAAGGTGAAGTCCCGCAAGATTTCAAGTACGCAACTATCGTGCACCTATACAAGCGAAAAGGGAATCGTCAAGTCTGCGACAACCACCGCGGCATCTCCCTACTGAACATCGCCGGGAAGATCTTCGCTCGCATCCTGCTCAACCGCCTCAACAACCATCTGGAACAGGGCCTTCTGCCGGAAAGCCAATGCGGCTTCCGTCGTCATCGTGGGACCACGGATATGATCTTCGCAGCCCGCCAACTTCAGGAGAATTGCCAGGAGATGCGGACCCACCTGTACTCTACCTTCGTGGACCTTACGAAAGCCTTCGACACGGTGAATCGTGAAGGACTGTGGAAGATCATGCAGAAATTCGGCTGTCCGGGGCGATTCACTCAGATGGTGCGTCAGCTGCACGACGGTATGATGGCGCGAGTCACGGACAACGGAGCCGTCTCAGAGGCATTCGCAGTGACCAACGGAGTGAAGCAGGGCTGTGTGCTGGCGCCTACCCTCTTCAGTCTCCTGTTCTCTGTCATGCTGATTGACGCCTACCGCGACGAACGCCCTGGAATCCGCATTGCCTATAGAACGGACGGTCATCTCCTGAATCACCGGCGCATGAACTTCCAATCGCGTGTATCCACAGCCACCGTGCACGAACTCCTCTTCGCCGACGACTGCGCCCTGAACACCACCTTGGAAGAGGAGATGCAACGGAGCATGGACCTATTCTCCGCCGCCTGCGAGAACTTCGGTCTGGTTATCAACACGCAGAAGACGGTGGTGATGCACCAACCGCCTCCCAACCCAGCCACAGCCCCCAACGCGCCGCCGCAAATCAACGTGAATGGGACTCAACTGCAAGTGGTAGAGAACTTCCCGTACCTGTGCAGCACGCTCTCCCGCAACACCAAGATCGACGACGAAGTCGCCAACAGGATCTCGAAAGCCAGTCAAGCATTCGGACGTCTCCAAAGCACAGTTTGGAATCGTCATGGTCTCCAACTGAGCACAAAGCTGAAGATGTACAAGGCCGTCATCCTGCCGACGCTACTGTACGGAGCGGAGACCTGGACGGTGTACACGAGGCAGGCACGTCGACTAAACCACTTCCACCTCAGCTGTCTCCGCCGCATCCTGAGGCTGAACTGGCAGGACGGCATCCCCGACACCGAAGTGCTGGAACGGACGGGAATTCTGAGCATCTACTCCATGTTGAGACAAATGCAGCTGCGCTGGAGCGGCCACCTGGTGCGCATGGACGACGAGCGACTACCCAAACAACTCTTCTACGGAGACGTCGCGACGGGTTCTCGCCGTCAAGGAGGCCAGATTCGCCGTTACAAGGATACCCTGAAGTCCTCCCTGAAGCGCCTGCAAATCAACCCGAGCAACTGGGAAGAGCTCGCTCGCGATCGCCCGACATAGAGGAGAACAGTGAAGACGGGCGCTGCTATCCACGAAGCCAACCGCATCGCCGCCGCCAAAGTGAAACGCGAAGCCCGCAAATCACAACTTCGCCCAGTCCGCAACGCCGCCGCACAACCTCTCCCTACGTGTCCTCGATGCCACCGGACATTCCGGGCACGAATCGGACTTGTTGGTCATCTTCGAACCAACTGCACCTCTCGAACTGCTCCAGCCATCGTCCCCCCGCCCGCCTCTTCCTCGTCCTCTCTACCGCCAACTAACTCTGACACTCCTTCTGCACCACCCCTTCCATCCTCTTCCTCGTCCTCCCTCTCCACTGCCCCAGCGGTGGCCGTTCAGACAGCCGTCTCACACATCACCAACCCCAACACAACAACCGCCACCACCCGCACCTCTCCCGATCCCAGTGATGAGAATCAGGACTGCACCTGCCCTCACTGCGACCGTACCTTCACATCACGCATCGGCCTGGTCTGTCACTTGTGAATCCATCGCACAGAGACGGGCGAACCAGTGCATGGAGCACAAACCTACACCCACCGCACTCGCCTCTACTGCCCACAATGCCCTCGCACCTTCAGGCATCGCATGGGCCTATTCGGCCACATGCGCATCCACGAGAGCGGAATTGACCGCAGCCTTGACACACCCACCCCGCCGAGCCCCACTCCCAATCCATCACCCTGTGCACCCACTAACCACTCCCCAGCCGACATCGATGCCACCGACCTTACCACCCCTTACTCCTCCCCTTCCTCCTACTCCTTCTCCTTCACTGCCACAACGACGGCCGCTTCGGCGTCTGTCGCCCACGACTTCACCACAGCCGAACCTGGCACAACAACCGGCACAACCCCTGCAACCTCCATCATCAGACGTGAGGGCCAGGGCTACATCTGCCCTCACTGCGATCGCACCTTCACTTCACGCATCGGTCTGGTCGGTCACTTGCGAATCCATCGCACAGAGACTGGCGAACCAGTGCCTGGAGCACCAACCTACACCCACCGCACTCGCCTCCACTGCCCACACTGCCCTCGCACATTCAGGCATCGCATGGGTCTATTCGGCCACATGCGCATCCACGACGACCTGCGGTAGACAACCGCCGGTCACACCATACATTCCCTCACTCCCTACCTCCCACCACCACCATACCCCACCAGACATCAACCCTCACACACCACATGCACCAACGGCCACCTTCCACGCAAGTGGGAAGTGTGCATCTCGACTCGGTCCCCATGCGGTTTCGGCTGCACGGGTGACTTGTGTCCGAGACTATCCCGACACGTCAAGTGTCGTGGATAGGAAGGTTGCTGATTGAGGCCCGCTCTCGGTTCACGCAGTTCATCACGTTGTGTGTGTGTTGTGTGTAGTGGCGGACTGGTGGGCTGGGGATGGGCTGCAACAGCACCTTCCACGGCCCTCTCACGCAAGTGGGAGTCACGCCGTTCTACCCCCGTTGTATGAAATCCTGGTGTTTGTGTGTATTGGGGGCCAGGTCGTGCTGTGGCGCGCGCAGGAATGGTCAGTCGACCATGTCAGCCACCGATCCCATTCCCCTCTCCAGTCTGCTGACCGGCTCGGACAGCGGCTGGGGTGTGGGGATGGGAAGGGAGAGTGAGGTCGACGACTCAGCGCATTTTCCTCACTATAAGCAATCTGACGCGCTTGAAGCTATCACGGTGCGCTAAAAGCCGTGACTTGGAAGGTTGCCAACTGACGGGATACTTTGGACCTCCTCCTTAACGGGAGGCGGTCTGAGAGTCAGGCTGCAATGGCTCCTTTTTAATGTGGCCTTTATGGCACTCCTACCACAGTGTGGGATACGAGCCAGGCGTTGGCGGCACGCCCAGGTGCGGCTTCGGCCGTGCCAGCCTCCAAATCTCTGCTGTGTTGGTTGAAATCCTGGTTATTGTTGTGTGGACCAGGGGGTGTGGCGGAACGCCAAGGTGAGGATCCGTCCGAGCCATCCACCTGCGGCCTCCCTCGTCTCCGGTCTTCTTGACTCTGTCTTGACACCGGACACAGGCGGGGGAGGAGGAGAGAGTGCAGGTAGATGCTACGCAAGTCCACTGGCACTATAAACCCCTGCGTAATTCACCGTCCCTGCTCCCACCGCTGCTGCAGCTGTGGGGCACACGGTGGACATCGTCGAAATAGATGGTCGAACTGTCGTGTGTGTGTGTGTGTGTGTTTGTGTGTGTGGGGTGTAGGGGTGTCCAGCGGTGGGTTCACGTGATGGACGTAGTGGTCGCTCATTTGCTTGCAGGTGAGGCTACGCCTAGCGTCCGTTTGCTAGCACCCAACTCTCACATGTGTCTCCACGTAGCTGTGCTCTGCTCAGCGACCACACCCCCGGACAACCGTCTCGACCGGCGGGATAAACCAGATGAGGGTATCCGTGCGTGCACCTGCACACACGGTACTGTGATCTCCGCTGGCCGGATGGATCTTCGCGTCGACATCGCCGAGACGAGGCTCTGCCTGGACCATCGCAGGAGGCCACCAGGTAAGTTCAGCTCCAGGTTAGTGAATTTGCTTTTTTTCTTCCCTTTGCCTGTTGCAGTTCCGCGTTGTATGTTGCTCTTTTTGCCTGCCCTCTATATGTTAGTCTGTCTGCTGACATTCAGATGAAACCCTTGATGCCTGCTACGACTGTCTGTCCGTCAGTGTATGCCTCCCTCTGCTAATAGCTAGGTGTTACCGTGTTTGATCTTGAGGGATGTCCTCTCACTTCTGTCTCTGACTGATGACTTTGTCTGTTTGTCCACACTAACTGTAAGTCCCATAGAGTTCTGTTGGTGTGCATGCACTCTTCTACTTAAATATATCACATCACCACCAAGGTCCCAGGCTAACTCGGATCGTTCTCTCACTAACAAAAAGTCGTGGCCAATAGTGGAGTCCAGCAGCCGTCTGGGATAACCGGGCAGCCATACTTAGGGGGTGCGCTGCCTGCCCACGAGAGGGCGAAGGGGCTAAAAAAGGTGCCCTTAAAATTGCTGGGAACCACGCAGTCTGTAGGCTGGCCGTGGCTGCAGAAAAAACACACACGGGCAAAACAGCCAAAACCGAAACAACAACAACAACAGCAACAATCACGATCTTGCTCTTCCAGCCTATTCTTATTTTCTTCTCCTGCTCCTAATTTTCGCCGCCGCAGTCGCCAGACGGGCAGGGTGAGTCCGCTCACTCTGGCAGCCTGGAATGCTCGTTTCCTTTTAGACTATCCGAGGCGCAACCGGCCGGAACGGAGGACGGCGCTGGTGGCAAGAGCACTGGCGCGCTACAAGGTGGACATCGCCGCACTCAGCGAGACCCGATTCTCCGAAGAAGGCCAACTGGAGGAGGTGGGTGCCGGTTACACCTTCTTCTGGAGTGGTCAGCCCAGGCCAGAGAGGCGAGACGAGGGTGTCGCCTTCGCCATCCGGAACGACATCGTGGGACGACTGCTCAGTCTGCCGCAGGGCACCAACGATCGCCTGATGAGCCTCCGTCTGCCTCTCCGGGGTGGGGGCGAATTCGCCACCATCATCAGCGCCTACGCTCCTCCGATAGCTGGCCCCGGCGCCATCAGAGACAAATTCTATGAGGACCTGCACGCACTCTTGGCGACTGTGTCGAAGGCGAACAAGTTGATTGTCCTTGGCGACTTCAACGCCCGCGTCGTCACCGACCATACAGCCTGGAGAGGAGTGCTGGGTCCCCATGGTCTCCACTGCGCCAACGACAATGGCCTGCTGCCCCTCCGCACCTGAGCAGAACACCGCCTCATCCTGACGAACACGTTCTTCTGTCTGCCGGAGCGAGAGAAGGCCACCTGGAGGCATCCTCGGTCGCGTCAGTGGCACCTGCTGGACTACGTTCCCGTCCGGAGGCGGTATTAGCGGAACGTGCTGGCGACGAAGGTGATTGCGGGTGCGGACGAGTGGACCGACCATCGCCTCATCATCTCGAAGATGCGTATTCGCCTACAGCCTCGCAGGAGACCACAAGGTAAGCGACCCCAGGTAAGCTGAACACTGCCCTCTTGTCTTTGCACGCTCAGTATCTTCAGTTCAGTAATGAGCTAGCTCAACGGCTAGACAACATTCCAATCGCTGCCGCCGCCTACGCTGCCGCCGCCACCGCTACCGAGAACGCCTCCGTAGAGAACTGCTGGTGCCAATTGCAAGACAAGGTCCAGTCGACGGCGCTCGCCGTCCTCGGTCGCGCTCCCCGCCAACACCAGGACTTGTTCGACGACAACGACGCCGCCATCAGTAATCTGCTAGCTGAGAAGAACCGCCTATACAAAGCCTAAGAAGATCACCCCAATGAGGAAAACAAAGCTGCCTTCTACCGCAGTCACCGCCAACTTCAGGAAAGACTGCGCGAGGTGCAGGACGCCTGGACTGCTCGCAAAGCTGAGGAGATCCAAGGCTACGCGGACCGCAACGAATGAAAGAACTTCTTCCTTGCGATCAAAGCTGTCTACGGTCCGCCGACGAAGGACACTGCTCCTTTCCTCAGCGCCGACGGTCGCACTCTCCTGAGTGAGAAGACGCAAATCCTGCAGCGATGGGCCGACCATTTCCGAGGCATCCTCCACTGCCCCTTCGTCATCTCCGACTCCGCCATCGACAGTTTGCCGCAAGTGGAGACCAACGTGGACCTTGACATCCCGCCATCTCTCCAGGAAACCATCAGGGCCGTGCAGCAGCTCTCCAGCGGGAAAGCACCCGGATCGGACGCGATACCTGCTGAGGTCTACAAGCACGGAGGTCCCCAACTCATGGATCACCTGACTGCGCTCTTCCAGGAGATGTGGCTTCATGGAGATGCCCCGCAGAATTTCATAGTCGCCAGAATGCAGCATCTATAGAAGCGGAGGAGAAACGGCCAGCGGTGCGACAATAATTGCCGGGAAGATCTTCGCTCACCTCCTCCTCCTCAATCGTCTAAATAATCACCTCGAACAGGGCCTTCTACCGGAAAGCCAATGCGGCTTCCGTCGTCATCGTGGGACCACGGACATGATCTTCGCCGTTTGCCAACTACAGGAGAAGTGTCAGGAGATGCGGACCCACCTGTACTCTACCTTCGTGGACCTGACGAAAGCCTTCGACACGGTGAATCGTTAAGGACTGTGGAAGATCATGCAGAAATTCGGCTGTCCGGGGCGATTCACTCAGATGGTGCGTCAGCTGCACGACGGTATGATGGCGCGAGTCACGGACAACGGAGCTGTCCCAGAGGCATTCGCAGTGACCAACGGCGTGAAGCAGGGATGCGTGCTGGCACCAACCCTCTTCAGTCTTATGTTCTCTGTCATGCTGATGGAAGCCTACCCCTGCTTGAATGGTGATGGTGAGCAGGGAAACACAACAATGCAGTATTCAACTTACCTGGCGGTCGCTAACCTCGATATTTACTGCGAGGCCTTAGGCAAGCCCTCATCTTATTCGTTGCCGTCTCAATGTCGGTCATCAAGTTGGAGTAAACGCTGACGATGGTGGCGTATTTGTGTCCCAGGAGAGGAGGGCGGAGACTCATCAGGCGATCGTTGGCGCCCTCCGACAGGCACGATATCGTTCCGGATGGCAAGGTTGACACCCGCGTACCGTCCCTCTGCCTTGGGGCAGCCGCTCCAGAGGGTTTAAATGGCATTCACATCCTCCAGTTGGTCTTGTCCAGAGAACCGAGTCTGGCTGAGTAAAGCCATGTCCACTTTGATGAGCGCCAGTTCCCGATGGGCTGGCGCTGATATTATCTAAAAGGGAACGAACATTCCAGGCTGCCAGAGTATGCGGACTCACGCAACCAGCCTGTGGGGTGTTGCGGAAATGGGGAGGTGAGGGAGGAGGAGGAAGACCGAGAGTGTTGTTTTTTGTTTGATTGTTTCGACCGTGGGTTTTGCCTCTCCGAGCCAGGGTAAGCTCACTGAGGACGTGATCCCAGCCTTTATTTTGGCATCTCTTATAGCCCCGGGCACCTCACGGGGAAAGCATTGTTCACCCTAAAGTGGGCTGCTTAGTGGCACCAGACGGACACCGCTCTCCATTATGGGTCACGACCTTGTTTAGTGGAAGCACGAACCCATTTAGCCTTGGCCCCCTATTCGAATGCATGTCTCCCACGCCGCAGGGCATGTCGACCTTGGGGGAGAATAGTTGATTAGAGAGTAGAGGTCATATAGGAAGGAGAGGGAGGGAGGGTGGGAAAAGGCAAAGGAAAAGGGGATAAGGGCGAAAGAGAGGGGAGTAGAAAAGAGAGATGAGCGGACGTGGAGAAGGTGGGAGGGAAGCAGAATCACCGTGTGGGATAATATAGATGCTGATACCCTCACCTGGTTTAATCCACCGGTAAAGGCGGTTATCGAGGTGCGGCCGCTAGGCATATCCGAGCCTCGAGGAACCACATGTAGGAGTTTGGTGCCAGCTAATGGACGCTAGGCGTGGTCAACACCTGCAAGCGAGTGAGCGACCTACTATGACCTTCACGTGGACCCACAACTGGACACCCCTACACCCCTGCAGTGCACTTAGTGGTAGCGTATAAAGCAGTTTAGAATACAGGTAAGAATGCGGTTGTGTAGAAGTGCACTGCTTCATGTTATATCCTTGATTCGTCCTCCGTTGCTGGATATGAAAATATTATGTGCACCAAAATAGATACACGGATAGCTCAGATTACTACGAGTAATATCAATTTGTGGTGTCAATCTACTGATTGTAATTTACCGGGAACACCCGTTTTTGTGGGGGATTAATTAGCAACCTAGCATAAAAGCCAGGTGAACAAACATCCTTTCTAGTGGCCCGATGAAGGGTTCACTCTGTCGTGTGAAGGCAATTTTTGTCTATATAGTAGTAGTTTTATGGGTTTAAATTGTCACTAGTCGAAGTAATCACTCGGAGATGCTTTGCCTGAACGACAGTAGAGCTGCTACTGTCCGTACTCTGGAATTGCCTAGATTGGATTTACACGCTCACAGTTGGTCACAGGAGATATAGCCACAGTCTGAAGTAAACAGTAGTAAGCTAGTTAGTCCGGCGGCCCAACAAGCATTTTTATCGCCCCCCCTCTCTTACGGTCGAGGTATCGAAATTCTGTTTTGAACGACCTCTGAATGACAGTTGGGATGGAGTAAATATTTGGTGACGCCCGAAGTAAGACCATTAATGGACATTTCCGGAGGTTTTAGAGCAGTACTTGCAGCACCAGGGGGCCAGAGGTCACTCGCTCTCTGTTTGTCGGTCAATTCTAAGGTTTAAGTAAATAGGCCCCGCCCTCATTGTCATACGACCGAGGACTCGAAGTTATGCTTTGAGGTTCGTTGAGAAAGCGTAAATATTTGATATCGCTCAAAGTCGCGTTAGCAGTAAACATGCCTATACGGTCGACCCCACCGCCATGCGATCGAAGGATCGAAGTTGTTTTGGCGTGTACTGAGTGACAGATAAGAAGGCGTAAGTTTTCGGTAACGCCCAAAGTTCAGCTGATGCAAAACATGTCAGGGGGTTTTGAAGCGGCATCCACAACACCAGAAAGGCAAGAAGTTCCTCTCTGTCTCTGTTTCTCTCTCTCTCGCTCTCTCTCTTACTCTCTCTCTCTCTTCAAGAATGCAATGAGCGAGGGTAAAGGCAAGGCCCGGGGAATTTAGCTGGAACATATCCAAAGCAACGACGCAGGGTAACTGTTGAGTGAGGAAAAAATATGATCACATAGCTGAGAATATCCAAAAGCCTTGTTATATAACGTGGATATCCGCTGTCAAAATATCCGGACGAAGATGAACACTATAAACATTTAGATGCGTGGGCAATTATATGTGAGTATGAACATTGCGTGCGCCCCTCTTCGTAGTGACCTGGGACAGATAACGTCGAGGGTATCGACAGTTCTTGTTATATAGGTGGAGCTCCATTATCAGGTCACAATATCCAGAGAGGGGGACAGTATATGCACTGAATTACGTTGAAAATTAGAAATATATGATGAATATTACTGAAGATCGTTCGAAGCAGTTAACCCGTTAAATAAGAGCATTGTGCGCGTACCCCCTCATGGTGGGCGGCGACAGCCAAGTTTCTTAATTCCAAGGTATTTCGTCGAGCTACGGACATCTTTTGGTTTCCAAAATCCACCCCCTTGTCTCCTGAAATACAATAATAATAGAGAAATCAAGCCTCGGCCTCATCACTACAACATTTGCTCCACCTTAGAGCATATTGCAAAAGTAACCATGAAATAACCGATCATGCCACTGCCCATTTGCCTTTCGTATATTTCGAAAAGCATTGCGTATGTGTGAGCTCCGAAGCTGCCTACAACGTACACCAAATCGGACGTGAACAGCGCCCATCTAGAAACCGCGGATAATTTCACCTATTTTTGTATCATCAATGACGATGAAATGACCTGTCCGATCTCCAAAGCCAGTCAAGCCTTCGGCCGTCTGCGAAACATCGTCCCGAATAGACACGGTCTCCACCTCAGCACCAAACTGAAGATGTACAAAGTAGCCAGCTTTCCGACGCTGCTGTATGGAGAGGAGACCTGGACGCTGTAAAGGAATCAGGCGCGAAGACTCAACCTCTTCCACCTCAGCTGTCTTCGACGGATATTGAAGCTGAGTTGGCAGGACCAGATCCCTGACACGGACGTACTGAAACAGACGGAAAGCCCCATCATCCGCGCCATGTTGAGACAACTGCAACTGCCCTGGAACGGCTTACTCGGGCGGATGGACGGCGAGCTGTTCCCCAAACGAATTTTCTATGCAGATGTCACCAGGGCTTCTCGTCGACAAGGAGATCAAGTCCGGGCTACAAGGGCACTCTGAAGACTTTCTTGACACGCATGAAGATCATCTCGCCAACTGGGAAGAATTTGTGGTCGTCCAAGCCTCCCTGCTCTCCGCCGCCTTGTCACGCTGCTCTCCTGTCCACCTCATGCTCCCTGTCTATCCGCTGCTGGGACGCTGGAGGCCTTTCACTTGCCTCGCGAGTGTTCGAGGTCAATTAACGCTGCCCCTTCCCTGATTGGTTGGCCGACATAGGGGCAGGGCAAAAGGCGCACACACGCAGTCGAGTCTAGGCACCTCAACGGCGGACACAGATAAAACGTACCTGGAGAGACCGCCCGCGGCGACTTCTTGTTGAGCCTTCGTGTACACACTTGCACAGCAGTAAAAGTTGTCAGGCCCAATCCGTCTTACATGACTTCTGATTTCAGAACCTCTTTCTTGTCGACCATACCATACCAACAACTGGTGACTCCCTGCAAACAACAGTCTTTCGTCATCGTAATATAAGATAAAGTCAGGCGTTGACCATGGACAATTTTTTTGCGGTAGACAACCGCCGGCTATACCAACCATCACTTCTTCCCCTACCTATATCACCCAACATCATCACTCATCACAAGCCTCCATCTGCCACCTCCCACGCAAGTGGGGAGTGTGCATCTCGGTTCCGCCTCCATGCGGCTCCTTTGCTGCGTGTGAGAGTCGAGTTTAAAGCTATCACGGCGTGTCAAGCAACGTGGCTTGGAAGGCTGCTGACTGACGCCCCAACTCAGTACACGCAGTCTGCCCGTTTGTGCGTGCTTGTGTGGAATTGAGGCCCGACGGACGGAGAGCCAGGCTGTCGCGGCACCTTCCTAAGTGTTCTGTGACACTTACGCATGTGAGGAGTGTATGTGTGTGTGCTCTATGGGTAGTGCCTATGCGCCAAAGACTGTTTGGTTGCCCGAATTGAAGTGTGACAGCCCAGGAGCATGCAGGACCACGTGTCGCCCTTCTAGGCCTAAAGGTCTGAAAGCGCCTGCTATGTCAGGATCAGCAAACCATGGCGCTCGCAACCTGGTATGCGCTGGCAG